AATAGTGGGATTGACCGTCACATTATAACGCCCCCACGGCTGAAAGGGCGAGCATGTTTGGTGGGACAGGGGCTTCAATAGGAGTTGTAAGCAAAATTCTGAAAAAGGCAAGAGAAACGTTCACTGTTAACAATGGGAGTGATAAAGATAGAAAACCTACACTCTCCATAAGTGATGTTAAGTATCTCCGGGTGTGTTCTTTACAAGAAATACTACAGTCGAGTAGATATTTTTCCAACTATTTTGCTGTAAATGGATACAGGTGTGAATGTTACCTCGAGAACGGTAGGATACACATTAGCATGAGGTGATCTCAATAGACTACCCGAAATCCGCTGTTAAGAAGAGGTAACTAAGCCAAAAAGGTTGAACTGCACAGAAAACCACAAACAGTGGAATGAGCAAAGCTGGAGACGCTTATCTTTTGCAGCTGAAACCAAGTTCGAATTGTTTGGTAACAACTAACAACAGTTTGTTTGATGGCGGAGAAGTGAACGGCATCAGAGTTAATGTACAACATTTACAGTGAAGCATCGTTGGCACCCTGACTGCTGACGAGTACAGGCAGGTTCCGATCCACCATGCCATTCCCTCAAGAACACGACTCATCTAGCGGGGATTTATCTTCCAGTATGACAATGATTCCAAGCACACAGGACCTATGGTAAAACGAAATTTTAACTGTAAAGAGGCCGATGAAACTATCCTAACCATGGTTTGTCCTGCACAAAGTCCAACTCTGAACATTACTGAGGCTGTATGGATTTATGTAAATCCCGAGAAGGTCAAAAAGTGACTAAACACTTGTTTGAATTGTGAGGGTTTATACAGGACATCTATATAACAATATTCCACTGTCATACAATGATAAACTGTATGGTCGCATGAAACAAAGCTTTAAGCAAAGGTTTGCTTGTTTCGGTGTTAAGCACAAATCTACACAATGAGCTATCTGTCTGTGTCCACCACGGGTATGGAAACCCTGTTTTTAGCATTATAAACCTTCAAACTTTACGTTAAGTCACTGAGAAGGATAAAGTAAATCTCAGATGCAAAATACTAGTGCATTGTATAAATTATTTTCTTTTGTTTTCTATTTTCCGTGATAGTGTCTTGTGCTGTTATTAAATTCATCACTTGTATGTCACCATAATTATTTCCATTACTATATATAACAAATTAACTATTCAAAAGTAATTTTAATGAAATCACGTTATTTTGTATTTATCTATATTTTTATATCAAATATACTGATATATAGTTTAATAGCAATACATTCATTTACATAAATTTAAATAATGACATGTAAATTGTCATAGGATGTAAGTTTAAAACGAATTGAAAACTTAATTAAAACTAACAGCTCTGAATTTTATTAGTTATAATTGATCTGTTTCGAAGAGATATAAATGTTGTATGTGAGAAAGGAAATTAAGTTACCTTAAACAAAAGTAGTTTTAAGTAGTTTGGAAATAATTTCTGTAAGTTATTTGTTATGTTTTATACAACAAATAAAAAATAAACATGACTTCATCTTATACAACTATTCGTATTCAAATGCATCACGACAAAACCACGTACCAAGACGTTTCGTTTCTGATTAATGTATCTGCATAATAAATTCATAAGACAAAGAATATCTCATAAATATTTATCAAAGTTTTAAATGGATAGAAATTTAACAAAAATAATGTTTTCTTCTACTAGTGAAAAAAAAAATAACGGAAAATTAGCAACCAGATTAAAAAATAAGATCTTTCTTTAAAAAGTCTTCTCGATTTAGTGTAATTAGTGGCATTTCACCAACATTTACAAACGCATTCCAAGGTTGCTCTTTTGAAGATTACTTTTACTATAGTAAGAGAAATTACAACAATCTTTAGAACAATGTCCATGGCGCTCAAGTCATGTGACTCATCTCTTTTAGAATCTTATGAATAAAACAGAAGGTGGGTAAATAGCATATCTTAACACATGGATTTAGTGCAACGCGCATGGCTCATTTACTGGAGAAATAAAAGCAAATACAAAGTGGCAAATGTACAGGAAGGGAAGATGAATATGTATCGATTGAAGACTCATAATCAGAAAATATATAATGATGAATAGCAAACAGACAGACACAAATCAAACAGAAGTTGCGATTTTAAAACATGGAAAGTAGCTTCCGAATATCTTACAAACATGAAATCCAGATGTTTACAGTGAAGTAAACCAGTCGTGTGAAATGGTTTCCCGTTGTTGTTTGCAAACGAACAAAAGACATTCCAGCTGACTCATTATCTCTGAATGGTGATAAGCTTCTGTGATTGTGCGGTAGGAGTCGCAAGGTCTAGAATCAAGATGCAGATATTGGTTTGGTTTGTTTTGAATTTCGCGCAAAGCTACGCGAGGGCTATCTGCATTAGCCGCCCCAAATTTAGCAATGAAAGACTAGAGGGAAGGCAGCTAGTCATCACCACCTACCGCCAACTCTTGGGCTACTCTTTAACCAATGAATAGTGGGATTGACCGTCACATTATAACGCCCCC